AATAACATTGCTCTTAAATTAGTCTCTACTTGAACTCCTTTTTTTCAAAATTTATTTACAATTACACATTCTCCCATAAAATAATTTCATATATAAATTTAAAATTTTTTTCTACTTTTTAATCACATATTCTCTAAAATGTCACTATTTGAAAATACATTTCTCCCACAAATTAAATGGGTTTAAAGAAGGGCTTAATAAAACAAGATTTTAACATTTTTTTTTTTTGACCTTTAATTTTGTGCTGTACTGTACACCTTCTCACTGTGTGTAAGAGAGAATTGTTTGGGAGCCAAGTCCTCTAAATAAAGAATAACACTATCTAGAATTATTGATTCTACAATACCATTTTAGGTGGAGTTAAGCCCTCATATAGTATAAATTAAAATTTTAATTTTAATTTAAATCAAAATTAATAATTAATTTTAACCACATATTTTGTAGGATCCACAACATTTCAACCATATATTTCAACAATTTTTATTGAAATCTACTAAAAATTTAATTTTAAACCCCACCAAACAGGAACTAAATGCTATGCTTAATAAAAGATATAATTAAATTATTCATTTAATTATACCTCTAGTTAAATGTAACGGTACCATCACCTAAGCAAGGTATGAATCTAAACTCATGTTTGGTTTTAATTAAATCTGATTTTAGTTTAAATCAAAATTAAATAATTTATATTAACCATACTTTCATAAGTCTTATAATTTTTCAACCATACATTTTCAAAATTTCAACCATAATTTACTAAAAATATAATTTTAATTCCCATCGAATCATCGCCGGTTGATGAATGTCGAAGAAGAAAAGTCAAATTAAGTCGACTCATGTGTCTCTTTTGTGTCCACTGCCACACAGAATTTCTCTCTCCTAAGCAGCCTTTTTAGACAAAGTCCATAAAAGGTCAAAGCAACTTGCTAACCACTGCAATTTCATCTTCTGGTCATTTACATCAGATCCAAGCCTATACATCACCTAGATTTCTGTCTATTTCTAAGTATTCTACAAATTTGCATCTGAATCAGCACAAAGAACGAATAGAGGTATGTCCTCATCACTTCAAATGATTTCAGAATTACTTTATCGTTTTTCTTGGCATTTTACGAAATTTACAGTCAATACATGATCATAAACAAAATTTTCGTTTCTTTCTCTTTCTTGATTGGCAAGTTTGTTTACCAAAGATCTTTGAAATGATACTCTAATTGTGCCTGTTTTTGGTAAGATGTTATAATCTATGTATGTTACAGAACGTATGGATGGTACTTTTGATTCCTAAGAAATGTGGGGATAAAAGGTACTTTTGACGAGAAGTTATAATTGTTTACCTATGTACAGATCATAATTCAAATAAATCAATCAATACTCCAAAAGTCTAGATCGCATAACATATACAAGCACACATATAAATGATGCATCCAAGTGTAACTAACTACACTTGTGTGCAAACTAAGAATAGACTTGTTAATATTAGTCTATCCATAATCCATCCAATATGAACTCTCAAAAATATCAAAGTAGTACCCACGAAAATACCATAAAGATAAACCCAAAATAAGTCAACGGATGTATTCATGAAACAGTGGGTGTGCGATCGACATAGAAAGAGGAAAAGATACCATAGGGAGCTCGATTTGATTAGGCCGAGTGAGGCCAAGTGTAGCCCGAGCAATTGAGTGAGCCATGCGCCTTGTTCGTTTGGAAAAGAGAGGTGTGGCTGTAAGAGAAATACCCCTAATGGGACCAAATTGCAACTTGGTGAAAACTGAGGAAGAAGCGGCAGCAGCAGAAGTAGAAGCGAGGAGGGTTAGCGATGACGCACTAATGGTAGCCATCGTTACGTGTGCCAGCCTTTATGTATTTATAGCAGTAGAACGAATATAGATAAATGTAACGCTTAAACTTAGAAGTCGGACTCATAGCGAGTGTGTATAACTGAGTGAACGGGAAATGGATCGTAGTTTTTGTACTGGGGATGGATACGGATGTTAAATGGGTAGAGTTGAGCCGTTTGGCTCAATCATGTTTGGTTCAGTTCGATCACGCTTGATTGACTCGTTTTCAAAAATTCTGACTTGGCTTGTCGTTGCGAGTTTTTTCCAACTTAAAATTGCATTTTTTACTACTTAATGATAAGTTGGCTCACGAGCTGATAAGTGACTCACTTGAGATTTGCGTTTGTAATGCAAGCAGACAAATGACACGTTCTACTTAATACCTCTAGATTTTGAATGATCGGTGCACCCACATGCCAAAATGTTTGAGAGTTGGTATTGACACAATAAGGCAATGTACTAGTTGTCTTTGTAGGAACTAATGCCTTGAAATCAATCTGGTTATTGAACTAGAGAAAAAGAAGAGAAAAGTTAAAGGGTTGGTTTGGTTGAGTGGATGGTAAAAACGTATAAGAAAAATAAAATTTTGAGGTTAAAAAAATTAGTTTACTAGTGAACCAGTTAACATTTCATGAACGGGTCGACTCTTGACTTGTTTTAAACAATTTTATTTTTTCAAAATTTTTGGTATAAATTAGACCGATATTCTGGATGGATTGGGCTAATTTGGTCCGATTTTCAAAACATTGGTATTAACCATATAATTTAGAGCATGTTTAAATTTCTTCTACAAACGAAGCGACTTAGTACAAAATAGATATATGCCAATAATGGCGATAAAGTTAAGTCTTACATGACTACTACACATAACATAATGTTTCAAGGTGAAAAAAGTCTCGTCCTATTTGAAATCGTGTTTGCATCAAAGATTTGATTGAACTTGATTCAGTTATTGTTCCTGTAATAGTGATCTTTCACAATGGTGACATTTACTATGGTGATGAATATTTGCATAATGGTTCAAAGTATTGGACTGTGAATTACACATTTATAGAAAACTATTTCAAATAAACTTCCAAAATAGTTCATCCATCTAGATATTTATGAGCATATGATTGTATGTTTCTTTAAGAGATACACAAGTAACAGTTGAAGGGGTATCTGTTAACACCTGAATTGTTTGATGGGCCTATGACAAAATTTGAATTACATTTTTTCAAGCAGAGGAGAAAGTAATTGGAGAACATTTGTTGGAGTCGGAAAATGTATGCGCTCGATAAACTAGTTGAGCTATAGGGGATTGCCTCTAGCTTTCCATTCAAGTGGAAACTATCTACTTCCTCCAATGAATACAAGAAGTGTATCATCATGAGATATCCAGAGGATGACGAAGAGCATAAATTTTCATGATGATTTGACATATCTGCAAATAAGAAGTGGATAGAAGTAATAGAAGAAGTGATCGAGTCAAGAAATCCAGACAAGTCAAGGATTCGGTGGATGTTCTTACTAGCTAACAAATTTTGGAGAATAATGTGAGTTTTGAAATTAGAGCACAAGGCTAACGAGTCTATTACTAACTTCATTTTTGGACAAAAGAATGAAAAATTGAAGCGAGATTTACTTTTGGACGATTATATTAACCATAATAGTAGGTTGTATTTAGAGTTGCTCCAAATAGATTTAGAGACTATATTTCATTTTTCAATGGGGAATTTGTTCAAGAGAATTGCACAAATGATTTGTAGATTTCAGTTTTAAAGTCCATAAGAACTGTATCATAACTCTTAATAGTTATATTTATGGCATGAAGTAATTATCTTGATAGTGGTACTGAAATTTGACAAGCTTAAATTTCGTACAATTTTATTATGTAGATAAAGATCACTGTATTTATGGGCTGATTTCAACGGGATCTCGTAACAATCCAACTAATGAAATTATTTGTTGATTCATGAAGTATGACACGCATGTGGAGAAGTGCTATTATTTTGTCAATAAATGTAGCATGTTTAGATAGGTTTGTAATTAAATTAAGAATAATGTTATTTGCAATCACTCACTATTTTAGTAATTGTAATCATCTTACGTGACATACATGTGACGATTAATGATTTGATACATAAGTCAATAAAAAACTACCACATTCATACATCAAATTATTAACTGTCGTATGTATATCATGTAAGATGACTATAACAGTAAGTGATTACAAATAACATTGCTCTTAAATTAGTCTCTACTTGAACTCCTTTTTTTCAAAATTTATTTACAATTACACATTCTCCCATAAAATAATTTCATATATAAATTTAAAATTTTTTTCTACTTTTTAATCACATATTCTCTAAAATGTCACTATTTGAAAATACATTTCTCCCACAAATTAAATGGGTTTAAAGAAGGGCTTAATAAAACAAGATATTAACATTTTTTTTTTTTGACCTTTAATTTTGTGCTGTACTGTACACCTTCTCACTGTGTGTAAGAGAGAATTGTTTGGGAGCCAAGTCCTCTAAATAAAGAATAACACTATCTAGAATTATTGATTCTACAATACCATTTTAGGTGGAGTTAAGCCCTCATATAGTATAAATTAAAATTTTAATTTTAATTTAAATCAAAATTAATAATTAATTTTAACCACATATTTTGTAGGATCCACAACATTTCAACCATATATTTCAACAATTTTTATTGAAATCTACTAAAAATTTAATTTTAAACCCCACCAAACAGGAACTAAATGCTATGCTTAATAAAAGATATAATTAAATTATTCATTTAATTATACCTCTAGTTAAATGTAACGGTACCATCACCTAAGCAAGGTATGAATCTAAACTCATGTTTGGTTTTAATTAAATCTGATTTTAGTTTAAATCAAAATTAAATAATTTATATTAACCATACTTTCATAAGTCTTATAATTTTTCAACCATACATTTTCAAAATTTCAACCATAATTTACTAAAAATATAATTTTAATTCCCATCGAATCATCGCCGGTTGATGAATGTCGAAGAAGAAAAGTCAAATTAAGTCGACTCATGTGTCTCTTTTGTGTCCACTGCCACACAGAATTTCTCTCTCCTAAGCAGCCTTTTTAGACAAAGTCCATAAAAGGTCAAAGCAACTTGCTAACCACTGCAATTTCATCTTCTGTCATTTACATCAGATCCAAGCCTATACATCACCTAGATTTCTGTCTATTTCTAAGTATTCTACAAATTTGCATCTGAATCAGCACAAAGAACGAATAGAGGTATGTCCTCATCACTTCAAATGATTTCAGAATTACTTTATCGTTTTTCTTGGCATTTTACGAAATTTACAGTCAATACATGATCATAAACAAAATTTTCGTTTCTTTCTCTTTCTTGATTGGCAAGTTTGTTTACCAAAGATCTTTGAAATGATACTCTAATTGTGCCTGTTTTTGGTAAGATGTTATAATCTATGTATGTTACAGAACGTATGGATGGTACTTTTGATTCCTAAGAAATGTGGGGATAAAAGGTACTTTTGACGAGAAGTTATAATTGTTTACCTAAAAAACACCTAACCATGTTCCCGCCTGTTCTTATGTTACCTGCATTTGACGATTGGGCTCTTTCTTTGCAACTTCATCTTATAGACATTTATTTGATCCACTAGATCACTGTGTGCCGAAAATTTGCCCACTTTTGGCATCAAAAAGCCTAAGGGTACTTCTTTCTCCTTGATTTCCTTTGAGAATGGCAGGTTCTCAATGTTACAACTCATTTCTATCTATTTATAATTTAAACCGATTATAAACATATAAACAATTCCCAAACACGCAGCTTGTTTCTCTGCATTAACAAATTCTGGGCCTAATAACTTTCTTTCAAAATTTTATCTCAACAAATTGATGTTCTACATTTTCTACCTCATAGCACTTCAATAGTTGAATGTCATGAGCAAACTCTAGTAAAGAGAAATGACTATACACCTGGAAATTTGTTCTTTTTTTCCTGATTTGTTATTGTTTTCTAAAGATTTTTGTTTGTTTGCAAGTCAACATATAATATGAAATAGGAAGCTTCCAGTTCTGGATGAAACATGGATTAAAGTGTTAGATTTCTGCAAACAGATATATTCTACATTTTCTTCTGGTTGTGTGTGTGTGCCTGGCGAAAGACATTATATTCACTTATTCAACAATTGTGCCCATTTTTATTTTGATGCTGATAGGCTTATTTGATTTCACTGTTAATTGTATCTGCTGGGTGAGCTGCATATTGATAATGGCGGAGCTAGCTTTCTCGGTTTTTGGGAGGCTCACCGAACACGTAGTGGACCCAATTTTGCGCCAATTCAAGTATTTATTGTGCTACAAAAGTAACATTAAAAATTTGACTAATGAATTGGAAATTCTTGAAAATAAGAAAACTGAGGTTCAAGCAATGGTTGATACAGCCAAAGGAAATGCTGAAGTTATTAGACCACTTGTTTCGGCATGGTTGCAAAAGGTTGATGACCTAAACAAACAGACGGATGAAGTTTTGAAAGGTGCAGCAATTTCTGAAATGCAGTGTCTATTCCTCAGATGTCCAAATTTAAAGACCCGTTATCTACTAGGCAGGAAAGCCACGAAGAAGACTGTTGTGACTGTTAAGCTCCAAGCGGAAGGTTCATTTGAGAGAGTGGGCTATCCTACACCACCGGTGCTGATGCCAAACCAATCCTCCCATCAGGATTTCTATGGTTTTGAGACAAGGATAACAACTAAGAAGGAAATTTTGGAAGCTCTGAAAGACAAAGATATCTATATAATTGGGATTTGTGGCATGCCTGGAGTAGGTAAGACGACAATGGCGAATGAAGTAGCCACCCAAGTCAAAGATGAGAAATTATTTGATGAGGTTGCGATGGCAGTTGTATCTCATGATCCAGACATAATAAAAATTCAAGATCAACTTGCTGAAAAGCTCCATTTGAAAATTGAAGAGAAGACTGAGAGTGGGAGAGCTCAACGACTTTATGCAAGACTTACGTATGATAATAAGAGAATTCTTTTGATATTAGATGACGTATGGAAAGAAATTGATTTGGGAACTATAGGAATTCCTTCAAAGGATGATTGCGAGGGATTGAAAGTTCTGTTTACAACACGGAATGAAGATGTATGCATTGACATGGGAGTGCAGAGGAAATTTGAAGTTGAAGTTTTGTCTCAAGAAGAAGCACAAAACTTTTCGAGCGTGCTGCAGACATTTCTAATTATACAATTAATGTTGTGAACAGCACAGCTCACGAAGTTGCAAATGAATGTGGAGGCTTACCTCTAGCACTCGTGACTGTTGGCAAAGCACTAAAAAATAAAATGCCACATAAATGGAGAGATGCACTTCAACAGTTACAAAGGTCTAGGGTAACAAATCTCAGAGGAATGCACGATTTGGTACTTTTCGAGCGTGCTGCAGACATTTCTAATTATACAATTAATGTTGTGAACAGCACAGCTCACGAAGTTGCAAATGAATGTGGAGGCTTACCTCTAGCACTCGTGACTGTTGGCAAAGCACTAAAAAGTAAAATGCCACATAAATGGAGAGATGCACTTCAACAGTTACAAAGGTCTAGGGTAACAAATCTCAGAGGAATGCACGATTTGGTCTACTCGAGAATAGAGTTAAGCTACAACTATTTGGAAACTGATGAAGCCAGGTCCTTGCTTTTGCTATGCTCTATATTTGCTGAAAAACAAAGTATGCCAATTGAAAGATTGGTTAGATATGCAAGGGGACTAGAGCTATTTCAAAATACAGACACATTATCAGAAACTAGAGATCGGGTATACTCGATTGTCGATGATCTGAAACGTTGCTATTTATTGCTATCAGGTGAGGAGGAGGATGAGGAGGTGAAATTACATGATGTTGTTAGAGGTTTTTGCTTACTAGACAAACCTGGATATCTGGTGAAACATGCTGATTTGGAAGAGTGGCCAAAAGATAACAATGAATCATACATTGCCATCTCAATGACTTTTGGTGTGCTGGATGAGCTTCCCAGTGGGTTAAAATATGGGCACCTCAAGTTGTTACAGGTGAGATGCGATTCGGGGGAACAAAATATATCTCAAGAATTTTTTAACGATATGCAGGAACTCAGGGTCCTTGAATTTAATTGGATGAACGTTCAAATTCCGTTGTCAATCCAATTATTGACAAGGCTTCAAACACTGTGCTTGGACTACTGTGATTTAATGTTTGATATCTCAATGATTGGGAGTCTAAAGAAGTTGGAAATTCTCACTTTTTATCATTCTTATCTCTATGTTGATTTTCCCACTAAAATAGCAGAACTTAGCAACCTAAAGTTACTGGATTTGAGATTCTGGACAGGCCCCTGCCCAATTCCACCTGGTGTTTTATTGGGTATGAAGAAACTGGAAGAGTTGTACTTTGGAGAATACTTTGAAACAAGAGATGAAGAAAAGGGCTACATTATTAAAGAGATAAGTTCACTGACTGCTCTTAACACTTTCCAAATTTCCACAGATGATACTCAGTTTTTGATGCAAATATTACAAGTGTTGTGTGTGGAGAACCTGAAAAGATATGAAATCACCATGGCTGAAAAAAAGGGACTCAGTACTGGAGATTATCATGTCACAAGGAGGCTGGACATCCTAGATGGTATGGACGCAGGTACTCTTTTGCAATGTGGATTTAACCCGTTAATGAGGACAGCTTACCAACTATATATTGTAAAAGCAACAGCTTGGAAGAAGCTTGTGAGTGGGTCAGATAAAGATGGTTTCTTTAACTTGAAGAAGCTGAGGCTATCAAGTGGTGATTTTGAGTATATTATTGATGCCTCATACTCCATTCCAAGTGGAACCTTCTGTAATCTGGAGCTTCTGAAATTGGAAGGTTTGCATAATCTCATACAGATATGCAATGGAAATCTTCCAAGAATGGAACATTTTGGGAGTCAGTTGTTTCATAACCTCACGACTCTTGATATATATAATTGTGATGCAATCAGAAGCTTGTTTCGGGAGTCAGTTGCAAAATGTATGATGAATCTCCAAAGACTGGATATATCCAAATGTCCGAGGCTAGAGGAAGTCGTTTCAACGGACACGCAAGAAAATTTAGTTGCTGAGATGCTTGGGTTCCCTAAACTAAAAAAAGTCACTCTTCAATTTTTGAGCATATTTAAAAGCTTCACATCTGAGTCGAATAAAGTTGATGACTGTCAATCATTGTTCAACCAGGTATATATCTTTCCTCTTGTTTGCGTACTTGAGGCCATATTTGATATTTAGTCCTTTTCTATGAATTTAGAAGCATTAGACAAATTAGGAAAATTGATAATACCCGAAAAAGTTGTCCAACGCTTCAAAAATGAACCAAAACAGTAGAGCAAGACATTTTGTGAGAACCAGTTGATTGAATGATTACATAAATTGTTAATCACAATGATCTCTGACCAAAAAAAAAAAAAAAAAAAAAAAAAAAAAAAAATTTTTTTTAGGAGAAACAAATATCAATCATTAGAGATTTTAATTACTATTTTTTCTTTACTTGCATAGTTTAAAATTATTTCTTTTCTGTACAGAACCTCATTTCCTAAGTCAGCAGATGGTGACATTTCCTTGCACAACCTCACGTCTCCTGTCCCGGACAAAAAATATTATGATTTCCAACCAAGATGAGGATTATTGATAAGAAAATTACACTTCACATCTCCTTTTTAATAATTCTTATCAAAACCTTTTTGTAACAGTTTTTAACTAGCTAATATTTTAAATTACAAAATAACTACTTGGTTTGAGTTTCTCTTTTAGAACTAGATTAATGTTATTGTAGGCAAATGAAGGGTGTAATTAAATAATTTATATTACTACATCCTAAAGTAACTTTTTGTCAACTAATGCTTTTCATGGTATTGGCTTTAATTATCTCATTAAGTGTTTAAGACGTAAATTAATTTGTGATTATTAGATGTTATTATTTGGCAAAATTTGCAGCCATCATAGAATTGTTGTCTCTATTAAGATACTAAACTGGCTAAAATTTTATGATGAAAATTTTGGCTGATACGACTTAGTGAATTTCGCAGGTTACGTTGCCTAACATGGAGATGTTGGATATTTTTCAGTTGGATTGTATAGTAAAGCTACTGGGTGAAGAGGAAATGCCAATTACATCTCTGTCTAAAATAAGAGTCATCACTGTGGGCAGCTGTGGTAATTTACGGACCATTGCAAAATCTGATTCAATTAAACTACTGCAAAATCTTGAAGGTCTTGTAGTATCTGATTGTGCAAAGGCAGAAGTATTGTTTGACCTTGAGGGTTTAAAGGTTAACAATTATGATGCAGAAATTAAAATACTTGGTCGATTAAATTCACTGGAGATGTCTGCTCTACCTAAATTAATGCACATTACTAGGATGGTTCCTAAAGGAATTTGTGTCTTTCAAAATTTGAAATCACTTGTGGCTAAAGAATGTGGTGGTTTAAGGTACTTATTCTCACTCTCTATGGTCAGTTCGCTTGTGGCTCTAGAAACTGTAAGGGTTCAATCATGCGATGCGATGGAAGCGATTGTTGGAAGTGAAGATGAAACTTGGGAGCTTGAGAAACTTGAGTTCCCAAAACTCAAAGATGTCAATCTAGAGCACTTGAGTAGTTTTAAGAGCTTCAGATCTAAATTAGACTCCGTGAACGTTCTTGGAACATTATTCAACCGGGTACGTACCTCTCTTTATGTGTGCTTGCATGATGCCATATAATTTTTTTTGGCTTAGTCCTTTTGAATGGAATTCTGAATTTATAAGTGAAATTACAAATCTGATGTCTACTAATCCATTTTCTTGATTCTTTGGCCTTAAAAAATTTCGTTATTTTCTTACTTTTGGTGATGATCGGTGATTATTTGTTTAGCTTACTACGTCGGTGTAGAAAAGATTGTATAGAATCGTGGCCTTAACTAAGAACTAAAAGAGTACGGAATATTAGTAATGTTCCAATTACTTACCATATAACTTAAAAAATAAAAAGGCAAGCTAAGGTTGCTTTTGAAACATTTAATATAAAATTAGAAGAGATAGTATACTAGGCGGATTAAGCTACGTAATATTCTTAATTTATTTATTTTTAGTCAAGATGCGCTACGTGCACTGCCAATCATTTACATTATATGGAGGATTGAGATTACGTCAAATAAGACGAGATAGTGTAAATCTTTTGAATAAAAATATTCAAGAACAATATCTAGGCCTCAATAATTCTCCTATTTTTATACTAGATTCCTCATATGGTCTAATGAATGTTAAGTTTCTATAAAATGAGTGGTGTAGCTAAACTTTGGAGATTGAATTAGGTAATAGCCAAAGAACAAAATTAAAGGTTTTATTGAGTTGCTACTTTAGAATACTAGAAATACTGCATTGGGAAATCTGCATGTTGCAGTTTAATTAGAACAAGCTTCTTGATTAGAAAAATATAAAAAAATTAATCGACTACCTTTCATTTCAAGTCTTATTCAGCTGCACACAACACATTAAGCAAATTATGCCAAAATATTATATTTTATAAATGGTCTTGTAGTTTAGACTCTAGATTTATTTCAACTGTTCTTTAAATAAGGTCAATTATAACAACATTAGGAAATATTGCTGATGTTGAAAACTCAATGAAGTTTTATGACGACACATTTTTGGCTGACACCCCATTGAAATCATTTTCCTGCAGGTTAGATTGGCTAACTTGGAGGTTTTAGATATCAATGGATTAGGTGATGTGTCTGTATTATTCGACTTTGAGGGTATATCAGTTAGTGAAAGTTATGTAGAAAGTTTACTTGGACGATTAAGATCATTGAAGCTTGAAAGGCTACCTAAATTAGTAAACATTACAAGGATGGTTCCTGAAGGAATTCATGTCATGCAGAATTTGACATCACTTATCGTCTTAGATTGTAGCAATTTAAGGTACTTATTCTCACCTTCAATGGCGAACTTGCTTGTGGCTCTAGAAACTCTAGAGGTCTATGAATGTCAAGAAATGGAAGAGATTGTTGGAAGAGAGAAAGAAGGCACCTCAGATATTGACATGGTCAAAGAAGGAATGCCAAGAAGAATCGTGTTTCCTAAGTTGAGCAGCTTAGAACTTTTATCTCTTGATAGATTCAGAATGTTTTGCTCTCAAAACTATGAACTCGTGCTCCCTTCACTCCATAAATTGGTCATTCTGTACTGCCCCTTGATGACAAAATTTTGTTCCGGACATCTAAATGCACCAGAGCTTAAGCAAATACAGATAGGAGAGGGCCAATATGTTGATATTTCCAATTTCTTTGATGACTCAGGTATATATATTTATGTTCTGATCTCCATTTTACATCATCTATATGCTACAATTGCTTGCTCATTATTTATTAATGTAAGAATACTTAGCAAATTTACACGTTCTTTCAGGTTTACAGGAGGAGGAATAAATTTGTAGAGCAAAGGCAAATGGTGACGGAATTATTTCTTATTTATTTTGAATTTTACTTATATAATCATAGTTTAAATTATTTGAACTCATGTATTAAGTATCCTCTCTCTTATTTGATTGGCTTGAGTCCATTTCGATAGGATATGGAGATCGATTTGATCAAGTTAGGGTAAATTTTGAAAAAAATGAAAGTGTAAAGATTTTGACTACGTACAATAATGTTCATGTGCTCCATTGAAGTGTGAAGTTTTGATTAAATTGTACTAATTAGAAAACAATTGACTCACTTATGTCTACATTAAACAATATCTATGGGAAAAAGAAAAATAGAAAGTAATAAAGCCAAAGAAAAAAAGGGTTCATATTGATATTAGTGCCCGACAGTTTTAGGACATTACTGTTGTTATTGATACTTTTGAAATTGTCGTTAAAGAAATAGTTTATTTATGTTTCTTGTAAATAAGTTGTTGCATTTACAAGTAGGAGCATGCGACTAAGTGAATTCGATATATATATATATATATCTCAAGAGATGATTTGTCCTAGGTTAGTAGCATTTTATTCCAAAGAGGATGTAGGGTAAAAGGTTTTACTCAGGGTACGTGATTTGTCTTGATCTTGGCAAAAGCTCTGTCAAAAGCATCTACATTAGTATTTGAGTTTATATACTTTGGGGGAGTCTTGAATATGGTCATGTGTAGATTAATTATTATAGAATGACAATGCACATAAATTAATACACACTTGATTGTCTTGTGAGTTGCCTAAATTTATTATGGAGTAGTGGTTGCTATTGTGAAAGCGATGCTTTTTGATGTGTCACTGATTGAGATCAGATTACATGATGAAATACCTCGATACATTGAAATATGTTGAGGGTTAACAGAAATAAAAGTAGTAATTACATAATCAAGTTCGGAATTCATCACCCTATTAGATGGAATAATGGGTTCGCATAATTTTTTTTTTTAAAGAAAGTAGTTTAAATCTAATTCTAGGATATGCCTGAATTGTTACTTTGTGATTGTATGACGAATAAACTGTTTAAGGATAAATGAGCTTAATTGAGAAAAATAATTAGAATGGTGAAACAATCATTTTAGCCCGACTGTAATTATTCAACATCCAACGGAATAAGACAAAGATGACAAGACATAAAAATCTTCACCTCCACAACATGTTATTTGGTTGACGGTGCAAATAATATGATTTTGAATACAAAATCTAAATATTATATACATTTTAATCTACCCCGATACTATTTACCTCCTATTATCAATTTAAGTTTATGCTAGATTTTTATACAAGTCTAATACGATGTGCCGAATGCATAATACTTAAACTGCATTAAAATTGCTCATTCAAAAACAGAACTATTACATGAATCGTATGTTAACATAATAACATTTTTTGGGGTGTGATAAAAAAATGTTATTTTGAGGAAAAAAAAAAAGAAAAAAAAAAAGAAGCACATTACTTATAAATAACATTTACCTAAAGTCAATGAACTAACTCTCCTTAAAAGTAATGAGTCCAAGATCCATTTCATTTGGCAAATCAATCAACTTCTCATGGTGAATTTCATTGTCATAATTATTGTTATCATTATCTATAAACCATCATTAATATTTACAAAGATCATTTCTTACTATTTCATTTGTATTTATCCAAAAGGTTTGGTGGGTGATAATTACATTTCATAGTAATCAAGATTTCTTGATTAAACGAGGCTTAAATATTAATGCTTAATGGCATTATTTTATTTTTAGTCGATGCTAAATCTTGTAGTAGATCATATTTAATAAAATAGGGCCCACTTGAGGCTAGTGTTGTTTAATGAGTTAATTAAAATTTTATAATCCACTTGCTTATTTGTTAATTTGTGGAATCACCTGATTAATCGAGATTCTCTGTTGAAAAGCTTTGTATGCCGGTTAACAATTTAGTGCATGTTTGATAGTAATTTTTCACTCCAAAAGATCAATTTTTATCGTTATTTTACTATTTCAGCCATCATTTTTTACTTCTTCACTCACAGGTGGGATCCACTTATTTCTCTAAATGTCAAAAAATCACTTCTCATAATTATTATCGAACAAACCCTTATTGTTTTCGGCAAATCCCATTGATACTTGATGCTTAGTTTTATGGTATTTTATACAATTAAATATATTCATGAGCCTAATGAAAGTAATGACATGACGTGGCTTATATGCAAACAAAGAAGTTTGGACTCAAATGGAGGAACATTAAATGGGGCGGAGGCGAGAGCGAGGGCGAGCTCACACTCGGCTTGCCTCAACAAAGTTGGGCTCCACCCCTTCTCAAATGCATATGCCAAAATGTTCTTTATTCTTAGGCGTATGTATAGGGTAACTAAACTGACTACAGTCTTGGTTAGTTTTTATTTTTGCAATAATGTGACTAGTAATATTCTTTAATGCACTTACTTGGTTCAGCCCGTACAAAACGGCTCTGTTTCTTTTTACCCTAAATAAATAAAGGGTATGAATAATATAATACATAATTAATAAATAATAATATCATATAAAAGTCGTGTGTGATTTTAAAGTTTGACAGTTTCGATCACATCGAGACCCAAATTTATAGTTTTAATAAGCAAATAACAAAATACTTCACTTCTGGAGATTAGGAGAAAAGTTTCAACATGATGATTCTATGTGCACATGTGACAGAACCGTCCACTTAAATCGCGGTACCTCAAACCTTGAATCATTCAAACAGCGACACTTCTGTATTCGAAGAGTAAGAGGGGAGAAATAAAGTAATTGTATGTATAGAATCATCCTATGAAGCTTTCTTTTCAAGTACAGAATGGTTGATGATGAAGAATACTAGCTCTTGCGGCTTTGAGTTTTTGAAAGTTGGAGATTAAATAATTTTTTTTAGAATTATTTGCCATTTTATGACTCAATAAGTAGAAATAATGAGATCAAATTTAGCTTTCATTTTTTTCTCGTTCAGTTTTATCCTGGTTTTATATATTTCTTTATTTCATTATTTTTCACCTTTCTATTTATTCAAGTTACTCAGAGCATTATCTTGGTATAACAGTTGCTAGGTCCATTGTACCTCAAACCTTGAATCATTCAAACAGCGACACTTCTGTATTCGAAGAGTAAGAGGGGAGAAATAAAGTAATTGTATGTATAGAATCATCCTATGAAGCTTTCTTTTCAAGTACAGAATGGTTGATGATGAAGAATACTAGCTCTTGCGGCTTTGAGTTTTTGAAAGTTGGAGATTAAATAATTTTTTTTAGAATTATTTGCCATTTTATGACTCAATAAGTAGAAATAATGAGATCAAATTTAGCTTTCATTTTTTTCTCGTTCAGTTTTATCCTGGTTTTATATATTTCTTTATTTCATTATTTTTCACCTTTCTATTTATTCAAGTTACTCAGAGCATTATCTTGGTATAACAGTTGCTAGGTCCATTTTGGGACATCATTGACCCATGGACTGTTGTATAAAACATTTTTTTCAGAGAAGATAGAAAATTAGTATTTTCTTTTCCCAATACAATATAGAAACATTAAATGGGGGCATGACAATAATATGACAGAAATTTTCATTTCAAACAAACAATTTTATAGAGACAACAAAGTAGAAGTTTCTTTTGTTTATATGAAACATTATATGGAGAAATTATGGTAAGCTCTTTTAACATTTTCTCTCACTTGTCATATTTGATATTGAGTTGCCTCGATTTGAATGGTTCGATGTCTATGGTGTTATGATTTTAGTGAATAATTCTATCATGTGTTGATGCAAAAAAAAAAAGAAAAAAAGAAAAAGAAAAAGGTAGATTTCATGGAAAAGTCAGATTGGCATTGAAGAAGATAATTTTCCGGAGTATTCATTTTCGGAGAATTTTGTTTTTCTGGATAGTTCAAAAATATATATATTTTTTTGATTTTGTCAATAATTTTCTTAATTTTAATTTGTCATAAGATTTTTATTCTGTTAAGAATTAATTGTTATCTTTGATTTTTATCATTATCTAAAGTTGGTCATCTTTATCTAGGAGTTTAGTTATTATTCAATTTTTATTTACTGCTTTAAATACAAATGGTAGGTCTTATGACAATTAGCCAAATTTGAATTTAATAAAAAGTCTTGAAAATTTTCACAAAATTATCTATTTCTTGATATTCATGAACGAATCAACAAGTTTGAGCTTTTGTTCTTTTATATAAGCTTTTGCTAGGTCAAGTGTAATATAGAACTATTCCATTAACCTTATTCTTGTCCTCGAAATAGGCTTTCACTATCATCATCTAGAACAAAAAAAGAAAAAAAAAACAAAAACAAAAAAAAAAGAAAAGAAAACTTTAAAATACTGATAATACAAATCATTTTTTATTCATATAATTTATGAGATCAACAAGCACTGCTCATTTATTCATTATTATTTATATCTATCTATAATTTAAATGGTTTATAATTCATTTTTCCCAATCTTTCTTCATTTTCAGCTACACATTTTTAGAAAAATTACTATTCCTTTTATTATAATGTGAAATAATAGGGCTAAACAGGCGCGTAATTTGCTAAAAGCATATTTTCCCTTCATATTCATAACCTCATGTTTAGTAACATTAAATTTTAGTTCAGTCATATATAAATAATCTTCAATAGATCTATAAATACATGTATTTACTCACCACTCATACTATCTATTTACTCATCATTTTTTTACACTGTCACGTAGGAACACACCATTGGATAGTTTAAAAAGAACAATGTTATTTACAGTCGCTCAGTATTGCAATCATCATATGTGGCGGCTAGTGAACGACTACGCATTACTCGTTTAAAATTTTTTGACAAATTTTCACCCGGTTAATACTTGTAAACCCTTGTAATGTCAATAAAAGAGTGTAACAGTGACATTTTTTTGGCAATTTTTTCCTTTTCCTTTTCCTTTTCCTTTTCCTTTTTATTTATTATTATATTATTTTTTACATATATATCTCTGTCACCACCCTATCATAATCATCACAAAATATCAGCTTTATTTTTACTGTATATTCTGAAAAGACAAAGCTTCAGTTCATTCCCTAGAATCCCTACAAAAATGCACTAAGGAATCTCTCTCAAGGCTCATAATAATATTGTTTTATAACTCTTGACGCCCTTTAAAACCATAAAACATCCTCATTACAGCTGTCGTTACATATATACATGTATGTATATACCAGTGTTTAGATGATTTTGTGTACCTAAATGTGAAAATGTCTGAATGTCAGCCTTGGTTAAGCCCAAAGTTTATAGTTTTGTGTAGTTGATTATGGGTATGTAGTTTTTCCTAAGTAGTTTGCAAATAGTTTTGAATTTTAAGGGAAAAATTGTTTGGCTTTAATGGCAAATGTTGAAGATATTTTTCAATTACAGTTGGTTGTGGGAGGGTCAAAGCCTGAAATTTGGTTATAAATCTTTATCTTACTATAGCTCTTCTGTTATTGGCTTTGATCGAATGGATTTGTTATTAATAGAGATTATGGGTTTGAACAAAATTCAACTTGGTGGAATTGATGTACTTCTGTTTGGGTTTTTTACAAGGACAAGCTGATATTCTTGGAGAATTTTTCTGCATAATTGGGTTATTTTGAGCATCAAAAAGCCGCCATTGATCTGGTAAACAGATAGCTAATTTACAGATTTTGGGGCTAAGAGAGAGATTCTAGGAGAAGCACATAAGGGTGGTTGAATGAAAGTTCTTATATTTGGGTTTTTTACAAGCTCAAGCTGATATTCCTGGAGAATTTTCTGTGCATAAAAAATCCCCCATTGAACTGGTAAAAAGATAGAAAATTTGCAGAATTTTGGGGCTAAGAGGCAGATTCTTGGAGGAGCATATAAGGGTAGTTTTATTTCATCCAATGTCAGGGGCTCCAAGGGAAAGATCAGCGAATGTTGCTGATTCCCGACTTAGGCCTGCTGGAAACAAGGCATTGAGGTTAAAAAACGGGCAAAAGCTCGTGTCAAAGACTATGAGGAAGGTGGAGGAGTCAATAAAGGATGAAGGAGTCGAATTAGATAAGAACAGACCAGTTATTGTCACAAAATTGTCTAATCCAACACATTCTGTTAGTGTTCCTTCAGTACTTCGACGACATGAGTTGATGTTGCATTCGAATTTGTCACTCAGTGCTTCGTGTTCGTCTGATGCCTCTGCTGACTCATACCGTAGTCGGGCCTCGACTGGTAGGATGTACAGAACAAGTAGCACATCTGGTTGGAGGAAGCAATTAGGTTCAAAGGCAAAAATGGTTGTTCCAAATGGTGTCCCAGAACCTTTACCTGATGGCTTACAGGCTAAAAGGAGATGTGCTTGGGTCACAGCTCATACTGGTGAGTTTCATTTGTATAATTCTGGATTGGTATAATTGTCTTTCTTGGCATGTTTCAAATCATTTTTACGTCTGTTTTGTTGTAATTTGACAGGTTATCGTGAATTTGTTTTAGGATTTTGTAATTGATTCTAGCCATATTAGTGTTCTGTTTTGCTAATTTACCCATGGTTTGTGACTTTTGAATGCTATTTATAGGAAAATGAAAGAAAACATAGTAGACTTCATAAGATTTACTGACAATTCACATTCTAAACTAAGTTTTCTTGTTGGATTATCTTTTGAATATGTTTTGCAGTAGGCCTTTTACTTCCAAGATTTTGCATTATTTTCGGGCACGATACTTACAAAAATATGTGTTTGTTCTATACTTTGAGGTTCTAAAAATTAGCAGAACGTCGTATGATTTTACATAAGAGACTAATATTTGCATTTACTTTCTGCCTCTTTATTACCCTAATTTGAATTCTGAATTCTAGAGTTGAATTTCATGTTTTCTGTTAGAGTTTATCGACTTTGTTGGGTAATATACATTTCCTTGGTAAAATACCGGAAATAAGCTGCTAGAACTTGGATTTAAGATACAAAGAATCACATTAATTGGTGGTTATCATTTCAATTTGTTGGAGTGATGACGAAGTGTTCCATGATTTCCATCAGTATAACAGAAGTTTTAACATAAAATTATTTGAGAATGTAAAAGCCTGATTCTAATTTCCACCCACTTGAGGCAACATTTTGAGAGGGAAAGTTTACCACTAAGGTTCACTAACCCAACATCTGCAAGTCTTACGAGCTTTTTCTTGTCTCAGATCCATCTTATGTAACTACAGGCCTCGGGTTATTCAATGTTGAATATTTCTTGAGGCAATTATGCGACATACCGATTTTTAAATAAGTATTTAGATTATATTTTTTTCTTTTTTTTTTAAACTATAAATATTGTTATTTTTATAGTAAAAAAGAAATGTTAAAAGTTAAACAAATAATAAAAATATCATTTATGATGCTAAATTTATTCCATCAAACCTGCCCTTAAATTATTAACCAACAAACATGCCCTTAATTTATGCTCCTAACAGTACCTTGATGCTTTAGATGAAAAATGTTGAAAAATAGTTCCAATATCGTCGAGTTCTAGAATGTAGAAGACAAGGTTTGCAGTTTGAATATTCAATCGACGAGTTTGTTTGGCGTTGCCCATAATCATTTTTTTGAAGTTAATCTTTGATTTAGAAATGGAATTAATGGAGAAACGTGAATTGGGGGATTTAAAAAAAAAATGTCATTTACACAATGATGCTGGTGATATGTTTTTGGAATTAGATTTATTTTAGGAAGCAAGTATATATAAACATAATTCTTACATGATCAAGTATATTTTGTTTTATAAATATAACTTCGTAAATTATGAAATATTTTTTAGAAATAATATAGATATGGAAATTTTCGATATTTCTCGATGGCCTGCCACTGATAGTAGGCAGCGCCAAGCTTAGGCCAACTTTGAAGGTGGGCCGACTGGTTGATGGGTTTTCTACAAACTCGACTGCTTGGAAGGCAGGCTGTCTTAGTTCCTTGCAAAATCCACAGGCAACTGAAGCTTAAAATTGACAAATTAGCACCAACTATATCAGGCAACTTTTAAGGTATCAAAGGACAATATTTTGAAGTCTAAAGCTGTTAATTCCAAAGGATTGTAAATAATGAGATTTAATGACGATGTGAAGTAATAAAGATCACAATAAGAAACAAGATTAAAAGTAAAGAAATAAACAAAGAGAATTTATCGCAGAAAACCGATATATTATAAACCTTAAATATAGAGAGAAATTACAGACACATCAATAATGTTTAAACAAAACTGATAGAGGAGTTTTATATTTATAGGACACGTTTCAAACCTCATAAGAGCCCTAAAAGACAAGAAAATATACTCTAATTAGGAGACCCAATTTCAATGAGATTTTGTTTCCTTGTTATTGAATGCAATTAGATTTCTTTTTAACACCAACAACACGCGACTCCTATTTGAGTCACAACTCTAACAATGTCTATCTTGGCTCAAATTCCGGTGTGCAATGAGCGGAGCTCCATAAAATTTCTCCATTTGTGAAATAAACCCATTTGCATCGAAATGAAATGGCAAATCTTATCAACGCAGTAACCAAAACTCTCCATATAAACCATCGTTCTCTGCACGACGTCCACAAGCGACACCTGAACCCTACTTTTGGGTTTCCAAAATTCCACCAAGAAATTAATGTTTATCAAATAGGATCGAAGCACACCCTGTAGCAGAAACCATACAAAATGCCCCTTACTAGAACTGTCGCCTTCAATGTCCTCAAAAGCATCACAAACATCATTGACACCACGGTACCTACGCTCAATGGATCCAATCCTAGTAACTATACACATTGCAACCGCCGAAATTGATATCAAAGCAGAATCACCAACGCTCCCTCGAGCAATTTTCTGAACTGAACCAGAGCCCGTCACAAAAGGTATTGTACCAAACTAAATATCCACTACGGTACTGAACTTGTTCATATGTCTCTTAACTGGTTCCGTGCTTTCCTGCAAGATGTACAACTGAGACATTCTCCGTCCCTTTAGTACAATCCGGATACCCTTTCAGATCTTCAAGACTCCATCTCTACCAGAGAATTTATACCTTTTTACATCCAAAGTACTAAGTTAAATGAGATTCTTTTTCAGGTTTGGAACATGTCAAACCTAATCAATTGTTCTGACTGTCCCATCTCGCAGTCTAAATCTGACTTGACTGATCCCAACAATACGACAACACTGGTTGTTTCCCATTACAACTCTACCTTATCGAATAGCTTCATATGTCTGAAAAAAATTTCGATTGGAACACATATGATGTGAACACGTCGAATCAAGAATTCACTCCTCGTTAGGCCTAGATTCCACGTCAGATACCACAGTCAATATCGCATCTCCGTGGTCTGAAAAATCCTCAACTACATTTGTTTCATCTGAAGTCTATTTTGTCCAATCAGCTGGCTGAAAAATCCTTAACTCCTTGTCGTTTCTCCTCTTTTGTCCAATCAGCTGGCATATTTTCAAAATCCAGCAAAGTATCGTCCAAATCCAACTGCACCAAAATAGCCATCATCTCTACTTGTCACATGGAAAATCTTGTATTGTGATTTAACAGCGGAATGTCATACTTTATGGTGGTCATCTCTAAAAAATCTCAACCAATTCACAAAAGAAGAACCAAGTTTTGGTACCACTTGTTAATCTCAAAGGGTTGTAAAGAATGATTTAATGACAATGTGAAGTAATAAAGATCACGACTAGAAACAAGATTCACAAAAATAGCCATCATCTCTACTTGACACATAGAAAATCTTGTATTGCGATTTAACAGTGGAATGTCATACTTCATGGTAGTCATCTCTGAAAAATCTCAACCAATCCACAAAAGAAGAACCAAGTTTTGGTACCACTTGTTAATCTCAAAGGGTTGTAAAGAATAATTTAATGACAATGTGAAGTAATAAAGATCACGACACGAAACAAGATTCACAAAAATAGCCATCATCTCTACTTGCCATATAGAAAATCTTGCATTGTGATTTAACAGCGGAATGTCATACTTCATGGTAGTCATTTCTGAAAAATCTCAACCAATCCACAAAAGAAGAATCAAATTCTGGTACTACTTATTAATCTCAAAGGGTTGTAAAGAATGATTTAGTGACAATTTGAAGTAATAAAGATCACGACAAGAAACAAGATTAAAATTAAAGAAATAAACAAAGATAATTTATTGCAAAGGACCGATGTATTAGAAACTAACAATATAAAGAGAAATTACAAATACTGGAATGATGCTTAAACAAAACCGATATAGGAGTCTTATATTTATAGAACACATTTCAAACTTTAGAAGAGTCTTAAAAGATAAGAAAATATACTCAAATTAGGAGACCCAATTTCAACGAAATTTTGCTTCCTTGTTGTTGAATGCAATTAGACTCATTTCCAACACTAATAACACGCGATTCAAGACTTATTTGAGTCACAACTCTAACAAAAGCAAGACCATTTATTCGTGGGGCTCTTGTCTCTCTTTGGACAAGTACATTGTGACAAATGATTTGACTGTCCCTGAATTTTCTTCCTAGTTGTTTATACAACAAATAGAATATATATAAAAAAAAAAAAAAAAAAAAGGGGGAAAAAAAATTTTTTTTTTTAAAAAAAAAAATAAAAAAAAAAAAAAAAAAAAAAAGGCAATTAGAACAGCCATCTTGTTAAGTTATTATTGAGTTTAGAACCAATGTCGGGGGATATTGACAAGCCACAAAAAGGCCAAGATGAGATGATGTCAGGTCATTATGTCCTTTATATTCTTGGCAACATGTGCTGCAACTTAAAGGGTATTCTGAGGGTAAGCCAACTCAAAAAGTCCATAATTCAGATTGAATGCGGCAGCTTGCAAGAAGTTGAAATTGCTAGTAATTGTCGATTAGCCATATTATGACAATGAATCTTAGGGTCCGTTTGATTGCAAAGATGAAATTGAATTGAATTGAATTGAAAACGAATTTTAAGGAATTGAATTGTCTAAAAATTATTTTCTTGGGAATTCTAAATTATTGTATTTGATTGGTATAATTTTCCACGTGGAAAATATTAAAATAAAAGTATTTTTTGGTGTTCGTTTGACTTTGTTTTACATGAAAATTGTCAATTAAAGGGATAAATTTTACTTGTATTGGGAATGAAATTTGTTTCCATTGCCAACAAAAAATAAAAAAATCAAGAAAATCATCTATTTTTTGGTATTCGTTTAACGTTGTTTTATATGAAAATTGTTAATTTAAGAAATATCCTCTTTTACAATTGTTCATAGAATTTGTTTCAATTGCAAATTAAAAAAAAAAATGTAAAAATCTGGTATTGCAATTCCCACCAAAATGGTGGGAATTGCTTTTCATCAAAAAGCAAGAAAATGCTTATAAAATGGTGGGAATTGCTTTTCATCAAAAAGCAAGAAAATGCTTATATGGCATGGGTTTAAGAAAAATTTCTACCATCAAACATGTCAAAAATTGAGAAATGGAATTTAATTTCCATTTTCCATGAAAAATGTAGGCATATCAAACATTGCCTTACAGTCTTGAATTAAGCTTCAATGCCACAATGCCAGTCAATTGTGAAAATTTTACGGAAAAAATTGATTAGCATGCACATGAAGAAAATCTTTGAGATGAAATTATACGAACAATTTTAAACCAAGCAACGACTCAAGCTCAAGGTTGTTCAGATAAATGGTCGATTTGTCATGTAACTTGTGTAAATTATCATTCACAAGGTCATTTTTGTTAAATATTTTGAAAGTGGTCAAGTTTTCATTACTTTAGTGCATATTTAGAGTAAGACTTCCCCGTCCCCAACTAAATATGTCCCAATATCGGAAAATTAAATCACACGAAGGTGCCAACATCAATCATCGACGCACGTCTCATCGTCAACAACCAAATTGCTAATCAGAAGAATATGCATAAATTCAATCACGTTCCCCGTCCCCAACTAAATATGTCCCAATATCGGAAAATTAAACATTCGTGTTGCTTTTCAGTTTAGTTTAGGCCATTTACAAGAAAAAAAAATGGTCTGGAGAGACGCACAAACAAATCCCCGTCAATCTTGAAGATGTCTGACAAGGTGCCAACATCAATCATCGACGCACGTCTCATCGTCAACAACCAAATTGCTAATCAGAAGAATATGCATAAATTCAATCACACGAAGTTAATCCACTGTGTAAAAATCTCCCACAAGAATGTAAACCAAAAATTCGCTGAATTTCTTTCTCATGAACATTAACTTGAGCATCGGAGTAGCAATCGCTGAATTTCCCTTTCGCAGGCAATACTTATTGTTTTGCAACTAGCATAAGAACAACAAAACACAGCAACTTCATATTTTTCAACTGAATTATAATCCTATAATCATCAATCTTACAATCAATTCAGACAACATCCAAATAAAATGGAATTGATTCTGAAATATATCCCCAAAAATGTATTGCTTAAGCTTTAATACAAACAATATACTTTCAAGAGAAAAAAATGGAGACCTCCTTGATTTGCCACTCTTCCAATATCTTTCGCAAGAGAAATAAGAACAAGAGGAAGAGGGAGATAAAGAAGACAGAAGCTTTTGGGGGCAAAGGGGAAAAATGGAAATCGATATTTCCTTAAGCCTTTGAAATGACTCCCTCCCTAAGCTCCCCAAATCAATAATTACTATGTAAAAAATATATGTAACCAATAAATCAGGCCTTCTCACCAGGAAGAGATGGCATTCACCGACCTTTCCATCATATCCTAAAGGGTTGGTTTCCAGAGCTACTTCTATCGAGCTTTGCCTTCTGTCTTTTTGCATTTTTTGTTGCAATTTCTTGGAACAGATTTGGTCCATCGACGTTTAGTTTGGAGCTCCTTAGCTTCTTCTTTTTCCCACGGTCATATTCTTCATCCCTGTTGATATTGATAGAAATGGATGACATGAATAAATTATACAGAGATTTTTCTTGGGAATTTATCTGAAGCAAGGAGAATGCTAAGGATTTTGGTAGCCTATGTTCTGCCGAAAAATTTA